GTGATTGTCAGTTGCCTCACCTCTGCAATTGTTGGGTGGTACCCGCGGTTTTTTAGCGATCAGTGCACAAGCGGTTGCCTCATGGCAAGAACCCTGCAAAGCACGCTGATGTTTTGCCCGCAGCAGTTTCCGGCTATAGCAAACGCCGCTATGCGTACGGCTCATGACGAAGTCCCTGCGAGACACGTTGATGTCTTGCCCGCAGCACACTCTGCCTGTACCATACGCAGCTACGCTCGATCTGTCGGTGGAATTGTTTGGTGTTGTTCACTGCGGTACACACGCCGATGTGATTGTCAGTTGCCTCACCTCTGCAATTGTTGGGTGTTACCCGCAGTTGTATAGCGATCATTGCACAAGCGGTTGCCTCATGGCAAAATCCCTGCAAGGCACGCTGATCTTTCCTCCGCAGCAGTTTCCGGCTATAGCAAACGCAGCTAAGCTCGCAGTGTCGGTGGAATTGTTTGGTATTGGTCACTGCGGTACACACGCCGATGTGATTGTCAGTTGTCTCACCGTTGCAAGGAACCCCGGCCATTTCACAGGAGCACTACGTGAACACACTTCTGGAGCGGTTCGAAATGCAAGAGGCCAACCCAGTGAGCACTCCTGGATACGGAGCGGAAATCTCCACGAATCAACCTCAGGACCAATTCCCAGGACCCACGGACAAGAAAATCTAACAGTCGATGACAGGAAGCGTCCTCTACCTGGCCCAGTGCACGCGATTCGACCTCTCCTACGCTGCCCTACAACTTTCCAAGGCCTGCAGCAACCTAGCGCAGGTGAACATGACAGCAGCCAAGCACGTTCTGCGATACCTTCGGGGTAATCCAGTTCTTCCTATCGTCTACAAGAGAGGACAGTTTCGGCTAGCGGCGTTAACGGATTCATCCTTCGGAGCAAACCCCGACAACGGAAGATCTACCACGGGATATCTCTTCTTTCTGGCTGGAGGACTCATCAGCTACGGTGCGAAGACTCAAACTCTAACCGCGCAAAGCACGGTCGAAGCCGAGATTCAAGCACTTAGCTACTCAGCCAGAGAGGCGGTCTACATCTCAAATCTTATGACGGAACTCAACTTCAAGACCTTTGGATCGGTTCCCATCAACAGCGACAGAACCGGAGCGCTGACAGTGGCCGGGAATGCCATGCACTCTCAACGCACAAAGCACGTGGTCCTGAGGTACTTTTTCATCCGGGAGCTAGACTAGTACTGTGGGGACAAATCACTCTTCACCACCGGCACAGCGAGCACCAGTTGGCTGATATCGCGACCAAGTACCTCTCAAAGCACCGATTCGCCTCCATCATTCAGCAGATCAAGGACTTCTCGTGTTGATCGAAGATCTGTGAAGCTTCCTTCCATACCCGCCATACCAAAAGGAATTTATTTTCGATACGATNAGCACCGGAGCGCTGACAGTGGCCGGGAATGCCATGCACTCTCAACGCACAAAGCACGTGGTCCTGAGGTACTTTTTCATCCGGGAGCTAGACTAGTACTGTGGGGACAAATCACTCTTCACCACCGGCACAGCGAGCACCAGTTGGCTGATATCGCGACCAAGTACCTCTCAAAGCACCGATTCGCCTCCATCATTCAGCAGATCAAGGACTTCTCGTGTTGATCGAAGATCTGTGAAGCTTCCTTCCATACCCGAAGGAATTTATTTTCGATACGGTGCCAACGGAGGGGTCGAGGTAGACAAGGATATGGTGATGCCGTCGACCATTGTGAATTAGTTGCTTGATCGAGGGGTCGTGTCAGGAAAATCGTGCGTCGAGACCACCAGTAGTCGGACACGGTTTGACCTTTGAATACGATTGCAGCAACTAGTCTGCGTAGCAGTAGAAAAGAATAAATCTCTCCACGGCATGTATTCTCTTGTTCTAGAAATAATCCGGAAGCATGCTAGGTCAAGGTTGACCGGGACATCCACGTAGAACGTGTGTAGCTTCTGGAAGCCTTCTGGAAACTTCTGAAACCTTCTGTAGATTCTGGAAGCGTTCTAGATCTAGGTTGCAATTGATACTCTTCTCGAATGTAGGAGGGCTTCCAGAAATCATTCTGGAAGCATTCTGGATCTTTCGTGTAATTGGCTTATTTGTCCGGTATTCGAGAAGAGTATTAACAGGGTTTTCGCCTGATTGAGAGCGGAGTATACGATTGAGTGCGGGAGCCAAAAAAATTGAAATTTCGGGTCCAGACGCCTCTTGCCATTTCTTGGGAAGTAGGGGGCGGGCTCTTCCAAGAAGCGGCGCAAATTGAAGGTCTCATCAGCAGCGTCACGAGCATATGCGTGTCATCGCGATCGGATGCTGCAGCTAGGAGCTAGACAAGTTGCTAGATTTCCCCAGATTGGCTATTCCTGCCTCAAACTGTTTCAGGGCGATTTGATCGCGGGCGGTGAGCTCTGCTGTAGATTCTGCTCCCCGCTGTAGCTCCACAACGAGAGACGCCCACAGGATGACCAGGGTATCGCTTGGCACGACCAATATCGATTTGAGATAAATTTGGCATATTTCTGAGATTTTTTCTTAAATCGAGCTGCTGGAGGCCACGTCACGTAGCCATCACACACATCCCACAGCCCTCAACACAGACACAGCTGCAGACACCATGCCCTACGCAGCGGGCGACCGCTGCACTATGCCCGCCGACATGCCAGGCCCGCCTCATTTCACAATACACAAATGCAGAGGCGTCTGTCTGCGGGAAGTACCTCCATGGTATCTGTGGTGTGGTGGACCCGCTCGGCACCACTGAGGCGCACCGCATCTGCCACACCTGTGCGACCTCCCACGAGCGCGAGACTTCAGGCGCGTGGACTGCTGGGGCGCAGCCAGAAAAGAGCGGCTCTTCGGGGGCCAAAGCCAAGGGCTCCGCGGGCGCAATTGGTGGCGCGAAATTTGGCAAACATGTCGCGAAGAAACCCGGCGGCGCAGCCAAACGCAAGCGGGTGTCGACCGCGGACAAGGCGAAAGCCCTCGAACTTCTGAAGACGATGAAAGTCCCTGCAGCTGCTACTAAGTTGGGGATAGGCGAGAGCACTCTTTACAACTGGAAGAGTAACGAGAACAAGATTCGGGACGCAGCAGCGGGCGGCAAGGCGAACTCGAAGTCTAGTAAGGGAGGACATTTTCCGAAGGTGCGTTCAGTGCGTCGTCTTTTTCTTTCACGTCCGCTGTGTGTGTATGTGTTTTGTTTGTTCTTGCTTTTTTTTTTGGTCCGAAGACATAAAGAAAACTTGATGACTGTACTGCTTTGTATTGCGCGTGAACGCACCTCACCAGTGACACAATGTACTTTGTGTGTGCCAAGATTGTTTCTAACGTGAACGTTGTTGTTTTGCGCGCGCGCATGTGTGTGCACACGTTTTGTTTGAGAGGGCGAATTGTAGCTTCGTACATATTTATTGCGTGAACGTACATTAGCGTACTAGTAACAACATATTCGCCTGATTGAGAGCGAAGTATCTGATTGAGAGCGAGAGCCAAAAAAATTGAAATTTCGGGTCCAGACGCCTCTTGCCATTTCTTGGCAAGTAGGGGACGGGCTATTCCAAGAAGCGGTGCAAATTGAAGGTCTCATCAGCAGCTTCGCGAGCATATGCGTGTCATCGTCATCGGATGCTGCAGCGAGGAGCTAGACAAGTTGCTAGATTTGCCCAGATTGACTATTTCTGCTCAAACTGTTTCAGGGCGGTATCGCGTCGGGCGGTGGGCTCTGCTGTAGCTTCTGCTCCCCGCTGTAGCTCCACAACGAGAGACTCCCACAGGATGACCAGGGTAGCGGCTTGAAGCTACGGGCTAGCCCTTCAATTCAAGCTACACAGCAAGCTCCACCTCTCAGTGGTAGTCCGGCTACAGCGTATCGCGCAATCTCGCTCTCAATCAGATGCTACGCTCTCAATCAGGCGAATATGTTGTTTAGTCTAGATTACACATGTGACCTCTGGTTTCGATGCCGCGGACGTCTACGTGTTGCAGCGTAAAACAGAACATATGTTGTTCGTTTCCACCTTTTTCGTTTCACGAGATATGTACAACATTTCGTCCTGTGCAGGGAAAGAACGGCGCAATTGTCCATGGCATGTTTTTGTAGTGTGTGGCGAACACTCCATGTCCAGCAGCACGTGTTCCGACTGCTACCTTTGCCACTTTTGTCCCACCGTTGTTTCAGAAACTTTGCTTGTTGCTGCCACTTGTGTAAGCATCATGTATAAAGCGTCTAACGGTGATGCTTTAAACCATCTTGTCGTTGCTTTTTGCGTATGGGCAGGTGGTAAAGATGATGATGGACCTACTCGCGGAGGCCCGGGCATACGGTCTGCCGTGGATCGTTTCTCCGCAACGCGAAAACATCGCTCGCGGCGAAGGCATCAACAGCTGAAGAGCGCCGACGACTCGACGCCTTCAACGCTTCCGAGGGGTGGGCGAAGACGTTCATCAGTCGCCACAACTTCCGCTCGAAGAGCCTGCACGGTCAGGCAGGGAGCGTTCACGATGCAGCCATCGCCGACAAACTCCGTAAGCTCCGGGAGATGATTGCCAAGTATGACCCGGAGAACATCATCAACTGCGACGAGACTGCGCTCCAGTACAGGATGTTGCCCCGCCGCAGCTACACCGCACCAGGCGAGGACAAGTCGACGGTACGGGGAGTGGAGGGCATGAGCTTCAAGGAGCGCATCACGCTGTACGTGGCGGCCGATGCCAGCGCCGGAAGTTGCCGCTGTCTATCATCAGCCACGCCAAGAACCCCCGGTGCTTCAGGCTGAGGAAGTCGCCCCTCAAGTACTTCAGCCAGTCCAACGCGTGGTCTGACGCGTGTGTCTTCGGCGAGTGGTAGAAGGAGGTGCTTCTCCGTGGGTGCGTTCCGTCACCAGCAAGCCGGTGCTCCTCATCATGGACAACCACAGTAGCCACGCGAACCTTGTCGACCCCCGTGGGCAGGTGAGGATCCTGGAGCTGCCGCCGAACTGCACCGCCAAATTGCAGCCTGCCGATGCCGGCATCATCGCAGCTCTGAAGAAGATCTACAGGACCTCGCTTCTCCGCATCCGCGTCGACACGATGAAGGAGGCAGCCCAGCTCCGAGCGGAAGCGAAGTGACGAAAAGTGGTCAGCGGCCTCCAGGGGCTGGCGGAGGGACACGTGCCTCACCTGCTGGACGCCGCTGAGCTCTGCCACGACGCATGGGGGCGTGCTTCTACAGAGACCATCAGGAGATGCGTAAATACCTTGAGTTGTGTTCAGTTATTCCCGCTTTGATATAGACTATATATATTCTTTTATCCTTAAAGTTGCTAAATAGTGGGAGACATTCCCTTGGTGCCGTCGGAAACTCATCATCATATAAACCGCTCCTCGTATTATACAAAAAATAACACATGTGGCCCACTCTTTCTCTGCACATGACGCGTGTTTTTTTTTTCCGCCCGGGTCGCATGTGCTGGAAGAAGGCAGACATTCTCTCCGCAGCAATGCACCCGGACAACGACGGCGGAATCGACGAGCTGGAGGGCTTGCTTTCGCGCATGAGCGTCGGCACGAGGGATGGACCTGTTGAATAAGACGTCAGAGAGGCACTCGCTGGCTTACAGCTGGCTCCGGGAGCGAAAGCTAGTGCGGCTACGATGCAGGCGGAAGTCGTGGCTGTCTGTAGAGGAGGACGAGGAGGTATCCGAAGCGATGGTAGCAGACATGGTCGAAGACCTCTGTAGTGAGCAGTTGGTGCAGATGGACTCGGACGAAGACGTCGATCTGGTGAAGCAAGGCGAAGCGGGAAAGCAGTCGTTAGCGGCAGCGGCCTCGCCTCCGCCGCCGTACGCTAACGTAGCCCAACACTTTTGTGAACTCGAGGACATTGCCGAGAAGTGCGACATGCCAGAAGCGTCGTACTACCTCCGCAAGGCTAAACTAGCTTGGATGAGTGCCCACGGGGCGGGGGAAACGAAGCAGACGTGTATTCAAGACCTCTTTTAACGGTTGCAGCAGACGTAGTGCTGAGGCTGACGTGACAGGCTTCGAGGGATGCTTTGAATTTCCGTGCCAAAGTTGTTTTGTAGCGCGTGCGATATTCCATACAGTACTACTGTACGTTATGTAAAGTGTGTTTCGTTCCATGGCTCATTTTTGGCACGAAGGCTGTGGGTGGTGTGTGTTCATGCGTGAAGGGGATGGGTGGGGTACAAGTGGTTCGTTCAGTACGTGCGTCGGTAGATTTCTTGGATGCTGGTGCATCCATGGGCTCGCGTTGTACTTCGAGTTGAGATGCGAGTAAAGTGTGCAGCACAACACAACAAGCAACAAATACTTCTATTTTGTTTTTCCACGCGCACTAAGTGTGCCACACGACAACATGATACTTAGTCCAATCTCCCAGCACAGGTTCCAAGAGCGTACCGTGACTTGGGTCCATATCGCTCGCCGACCAACTAACAAAGCTGTGGGTGGAGCTAGCCTAAGGCGCTGACGCTAGCTAGGTCATGTGACATACGTAAATGATAGGCTCTCCATGAGCTCTGACGGCACATACTGCTGGAGTGGGCGTCAGGGTGTCAGTGTTCCACGACCTTTCGAGTTGGCTACGGTATAAGGTAATAGTCAATTCTCTTGAAGTGAGATATGGTTGAAAGGAATACTCTCGTAGCCGAAACGGTTTAACAGAAATACCTATTTCAGATAGCATATTTGGCTTGTACCAACCCTCTCTTAAACCGTAGCCGCTACTGTATTCCCATCTGTCTGGCGGGATCAATACCGGGATCTGAGAGCTGAGAGCTTGTTGTACCCTGCACCATGTAGATGGTACATACATAGCACTCGTGAATCCCCGCGCACACTCACACGAAAGCCCAAATATTATAGTGTATGCGTTCATCTAGTAGTAGAATGCATTTTGCCAACGTATCCTGGGCTTTCATATCTACATAGACTATCTGTGTTGGAAACGAATATGTTGTGCGTTGTCCACAGCCGGAAAAAAATGTAAATTCAAGTGTAGGCTACGCTGGAGTCCAGTTTTCCCGACCGTCGAACCGACACAATCTACAGTCAGGAGGGCTGGCCTCCGGTTGTGACTGTCTCCCAACCTTTATCATCGGTGCTTTCACAACCAGGAGGTATGGCCTAAGGTCGTGACTGCCCCCAAACCTGTATGATCGGTGCTTGCACAAGTATGAGGTATGGCCTAACGTTGTGGCTGCCTCCCAATCTTTGTGACCGGTGCTTGCACAACCAAGAGGTGTGGCCTAACGTTGTGACTGCCTCCCAACCTTCCGCATTCGCGCTTGTACAAGCAAGACATGTGGCCAAGGTTGAGGCCTCCTGCCAATGCCCTCTACAACCTGCCCCTACCTTGTTGTGGATGCTCACCACCCACCCACAACCTCCCCTCTGGCCACCCGTGTACTACAGTGTAGACGATGGCATGGAAGCCCCGGGCGGTAATTGTATGAGGTGTCTAGGCCCGAGGCTGTTGTTGATGATTCGTCTATCCAATGTGGAGAAAAGGGCAGTGACGCTCTGGAGACGCATGGCGTTGTAGTGGGTTGTTGACTCGACTGTTGTCTCACCAGGCTTCTACAAGTATGGGCTAAATCAAGGTTCATACATAGTGATATCCTTGTTGGTCCTCCTGCCGGCGGACCCCATCAGCATTCCGGTAGGCAGGCGCGATCGAGGGGTCGGCATTAGTAAAATGTTATAATACCTACTGGGGGGGCTACTATTCATCCCACTCACCTGGTCAAACTCGGTTCCCGAACGAGTAACTATGCCCACGTGCCGTAGAAGCTTCCGCACTTCCCGCGGAAAGTCCGAAACATTTCGCGGGACATTCCGCGGAATGTCCCGCGGGACATTTCGGACCTTACGCGGGAGGTTCTGCTTCGCGCAGAATGTCCCGCGGGAACTTGCCGCGGAAAGTCCCCCTTGATGTTACATAGTGTGCATCGTCCTCTGTTTCTCCTGGAGCGAAGCAAACAACAACTTTGTCTGGGTGGGAGGTCTACGATGCCTTGGCTTGCTTTTCTTTTACCACTCCGCGGGGATCGGGGTGAGAATCTCCTATGGTTTGTTGGTATATTCAATGTCAGTCATTGATTTTTGTACTGCTGTAAGCACAGCACGTAGGTAATCACCGTAAGAGAATTCGGTAGATTATACACAGCTATGGAGAATTCTGTAGATTATGCACTTACGCATATCATTTCTAGATCCGTTCTAGAGGTCGGACTAGCCGCCTATTTCTAGAAAGCGGGATGTTGAAATGACCCGTGTGTGTGCATCTTTCTGTGATAGCTTGGAGGCTCGCCCCCTGTGGTGCTCGCCCCCTCTCGATCACTCTTCTTCTTTTCCTTACCTTTCGGCCAACTAAGAGCCACTTCAAACCATCAATCTGGTCTTTACACAAGTGTACTTAACAGTCACACGTGAGCCTCTGCACACTGTTTCTACACAGTGCTTGCCACATCCAGGGATACACCCATCACGAGGTTACATCCCAACAGGTTATTCGCCTTCGTTACTTCACGGCAAGAGGGAGCATCAGCAGCAGCATCGACTGTTCAGCAGCGTCGCGTACAGCCCAAGAAACAGGCGCACCGCATCGAGTTCCGAAGAAACAGCTGGCCAGCATTTTCTTCTTCGGGACGGCACGTGAAGACTTCCATCGAGTTCGTCGGTTCTTCCACGGCTTCATCACGGATCGTCCACTTCACGTTCTACACGCTCTATCTACAAGCTACCCTCATCATCCACCCGATCCAGCGGGAGATTTCAACGTTCCGCATTTTTCTGCGGAGTTTTTTCTAGAAGAAGAGCGCCTGGGTTCGACGGAACACCAGGACGACGAGTTAATCACACCGTCTTTCGGCAAGTTCTTCAGCAGCTTCGCCACTACATCGGGACGTACTTCCGAGACGTACGCCACGACATCGGCTTCTATCGCCGTAAGCACCCCGGGTACCCAAGTAGAGCGGTAGCCCATTTTCTTTCGCGGGACTGTTAGCTTCCTTGCGAACGGGTACAACATTCGACACGTCAACGTACGTGAGCGTAACTTCAACCCACGTCATCTAGTTCATCGCAGCGTCTACAGCAGCGTCTACTCAAGATGGACGAGCAAAAACAAGCGGATATCGTTGACAAAATGATACGGTCCGCGGGCAAATTTAGCGGCAGCGGATTTACCGAGTGGTATGAGCAGGCGATGGATTGTTTCAGACTCCGCGGCCAAGGCATTCTTTCGATCATCCAAGGTCAAAAATGCCCTGAACCCAAATACCAAGCCGTGCGGCGGGGTCGTTCCCTCTCACGGGAGCGACGCCGTGCGGCAGCTACATCAGTACTTGAAAGCAAGGCAGCCGCGGATGCCGCGGCCGCAACGGCGGCCGCCACGGTAGCCCGGACAGCAACATCAGCCGCCATCCTAGCAGGCAACGACGACAATGGCGCGGCAGCAGCAGCGAGCGATGCAGCGTTGCAGGCAGCAGCAACGGCGGCAGCATCGGCTGCAGCATCGGCTGCAGCAGTAGCAGGAATCGACGGCGGCGACGAAGACGGTGGCGACAACTCCGACGCCCCTTCAGATGTTCCTGTTCAGTTCACCTACGCGACTACTACAGAGCTTCCGGCTGCTATTTTGTGGGAAATGCCTGTGACCATCATCAACCGAGACGAGATCATCGCGTGGCACAGCTCCAACACGATGCTTGGTGCATTTCTCTCTATGTGCACCACCGGTGCGGCAAAGAAATTTGTCGCTACGTTCAAACCGAAACCGGACATGATGTTTCATGGGATAGTGGCGTGGAAGGCTCTTGTGAAGAAATATCGCAACCCTTCTCGCCAGCGGCAGAAGATCTTGTTCAAGAAGCTCTACAACATGACCATGGACGTGGATATGGATCCGGACGCCTTCATGCACGACATGACCGAGCTGCGGGATGAGCTACAGCTGCTGGGGAGTCCCATCCCCGACGACCAGTTCATGAACATCATTTTGGACTGCCTACCGGAGGAGCTTTACTCTGGAATCAAGTACGAAGCGGAGACCAAGGACGACCTCACTTTGGAACAAGCCCTGTACACCATGCGCAACCTCTACATCAACCGCAAGGAGGCAAGTGGGTCTTCGCGTGCTGCGAAGGGCCGCTCGTCCGCCATGGTGGCTTCAACTACCAAGACCTGCAGCTTCTGCCACAAGAAAGGGCATCTCACCCAACACTGCTGGAAACGCAACAAGAGACTAACGGGCAACGCTCCCGGCGGTCGAAAAGGAGACTGGTGCACTCTTCACAAAACTTCACGTCATGACAATTCGACATGTATACTACAAAACCGGAACTACGGCGGCGGCGGCGCAAGAGGTCGTCAGCAGCATGAACGCCAACAAGGTCATCGTAACCAAGAATACCGGTACAGCAATGGGGATCGGCAAGGCGGGCAGGACCGCCACAGCTATAACGGCAACAACAGCAACGCCCCAGGTGGACCGCACCACCAACGCATTAATCATGCACCACAAGCCAACTACGGACAAACGTCCGCGACTCCATCTGCTACAACCATGGTGGAGTACTACAGCCCATCCGGACAACATGCTCCCGGGTCGACTACTGCTTCATCAGCTCCGGCGCCTCCAGCGGGCATTGGCTTCTCCTTCATCGCCGACAGCACCGCCCCGGCGCAAACCTTCACCATGACCGTCGACACCGGCGCCTCCAACCACTTCCTTGACAACGAGCTGATTCCGGCACTGGAACAACGTATGGTCGAGTACACCAAGATCGACCCCCCGCTCCTCATCCACGTCGCCGGACAAGGGCAGCTTCACGGCACCGCCAAAGGAGCTCTCAAGGTCACCGTAACCGACCAAAATGGCAATCCGCGCTCCATCCGCCTCCCGTTCATCTGCGTTCCGAAGCTGGGGCGTCACCTGTTTTCGGGGGGAACAGCGAGGAAGCAGGGAGTGTCAACATTTATTGGATCGACGTCGTTCCTCGATACGGGCGTTTTCAAAATCCCTCTTCGACCGGACGACGCCTGCGATACGCTTTTTCACTTCGATTTAGCTATTGCGCCGGACAGTGTCGCAACGCACCATGCGTTCTCGACCATCTCGGGTTTAGATCTACCGACGGAAAGCGCCAACACCGTGTATACATCGGCCTCGGCATCTTCAGCATCATCTACCACTACAGGAGCAGTAGCCGGAGCACGACCGGCATCATCAACCGGGACCACCTATGCAGCGGCTTCATCAGCAACGGCCTCAGCCAACACTTGGCACCAACGGCTCGGACACCCCAACGTTCAGGTACTTGAACAACTAGCACGCATCGACGGCAGTGGGGTACATCTACGCGATTCTTTTTCGGCGTGCGGCACCTGCAAAATAAACAAAAGCTCACAGCAGAACCACCCGAAGATCGCAAACATGGACGGCATCACCGAGCGTCTTCAGCTCGTCAGCACCGACCTACTCGGCCCCATTTCGCCAAGCGCGATTGGAGGCTACAACTACATGGCGAAATTTACCGACCATGCCACCAGGCTTAAAGCGGTCTACTTCATCGCCAAGAAAGGCGACGCTCTATCTTCTCTCGTCAACTACGTCCAAGACGTTGCCATCCCGCTCGGACTACGGGTGCAGTATCTACATTCAGACAACGGGGGAGAGTACGTCAACAGCGACTTCCGCGACTACTGCAGGACAACCGGCATAATTCAGCGATTCAGCTCGCCGCACACGCCGCAACAGAACGGCATTTCCGAACGAGACGGGCGCACCATCATGAATATGGCCCGCTGCATCATCAACGAGACAAATCTTCCCAAGCATTTGTGGGGGGAGATTGCGGCAACTTCGGTGTTCCTGATCAACCGTCTACCGCACAAGGCCCTCAAGGGCGACACGCCATACTTTCGCATGTTCGGCAAGCAGGCGAACCTTTCCTTTCTGCGCATCATCGGCTCGCGCGCCTTCGTTCACATAGAAGGTCACACTACGAAGCTGCAGGCAAAAGCGTGGGAAGGAGTCTTGGTGGGCTACAACGACGACAGCCCTACATTCCGCATATACAACAGGACAACGGGGCGCATCACAAGCACAAGAAACGTCACCTTCATTGAGAAGCCGCCTGCCGTTCTGCCCATCGTCGAAGACGTATCAGGAGAGCTGGCGATCGACCAGGAACCTGGTTCAACGGACATGGACATCATCAACGACGGCATCACTCTTTTGGAACACGAACCAGAAAACAACAGCCGTACCAACATTCAGCGACAGCAAGGTGCCAAGATCAGCTCTCGCCTGCGTTCATCTGGTCAAGTGCCTCTTCCAGAGCAGGACAGCAGCAACGCAAGGCAAGCCAGGGCCCTTCGGCAACTGAATTTGGTGAACGAAGATACTTCCCAGCAAATGCTGGACTCCTACACCGAGTACATCGGCGCGGTCGGCCTCGACAATGTTCTTCCGCCGGCGGCAGTGGAAGTTCCCAACACATACAAGCAGGCCATGAACTCACCGCAATCAACGGAGTGGGAGCAGGCCATGCTCAAGGAGCTAGCCAGCTTGGACGACCACGACGTCGCCGACCTCATCCCCGTTTCCTCCGTTCCGGCCGGCTGCTCCGTCATCGGCACGCGCTGGGTCTACCGAGTGAAGACGGACGGACGTTTCAAGGCACGAGTTGTTGTTCAGGGATGGGCTCAACAGCATGGGATCGACTGCTTCACGACTTTTGCACCTGTATGCAAAATCGGCAGCCAACGACTTCTTCTGGCAATCGCTGCCGCCCAAGGGTGGCCTGTCATTGCTATGGACGTGCAGACGGCATTTCTCAACGGGAAACTGTCGGAAGACGTGTATACCTATCAGGCACCAGGGTTCGAGAAAATTGAAAGCAGCACCGGCAAACCGCTCGTCTGGAAGCTGAAGAAAAGTCTTTATGGCCTACGTCAGTCTCCAAGCGTGTGGAACCTCACGATCGACAAGGATCTCCGTGGCAAAGGCTTCACGCCTACCGCTTCGGACCCGTGCGTCTACACCAAAGGGAGCGGCAACAGCTACATTATGCTCACTCTCTTCGTGGACGACATTCTGCTCACTGGACCTTCGAACAACGTACTTCAGGAGGTTCGCCGTGATCTACGAAGCTCGTTCGCCATGACTGATCTTGGGCAAGCTACCCAAATCCTTGGCATCGACATCAAGCAGGACCTGACTAAAGGGACCATAACCCTGAGCCAGGAAAAGTACACGCTATCTGTACTCAAGCGTTTCAAGATGGACGCATGCAACCCTTCACACACCCCGGGAACCGGAGTGGACATCAACGCATCTACGGTGAACAGCACTCTCCTTTCGGACTTTGACAAGAGGGAATACCAAAGCCTTGTGGGAAGCCTCATCTTCCTCATCAATTGCACAAGGTTCGATATTGCATTCGCAACAATGACAGCAGCTCGGCGCATGGCCAGCCCTACAACCGTGGACCTCGCCAACGCCAAGCGGATCCTTCGCTATCTCAAGAAGAGGCCCGGACTGGATATCATCTACAAACGCGACAGCCGATTTGAGCTCACTTGCTACTCGGACGCTTCATATGCGCAAGTAGCTGGATTCAAGTCTACAACAGGGTCAATGGTGTTTCTAGCCGGAGGACTGATCCATTTCAACAGTCAGACACAACGCATCTTGGCTCAGAGCACATCGGAATCGGAGATCATCGCTCTGAATACAACTGCCAAGCACGGCATCTACTTCTCTTCAATGCTGGGGGAGCTCGGATGGAGACAACTGAGGACGTTCAAGCTACTCACCGACAATCGCAGTGCGCTGTCCCTGGCCTCCAATGGCAATTTTGGCGCGAGGAGTCGTCACATCAGCGTTAGGTACGCAGGCCTCAGGGAGTGGGCACAGCAAGGGCGCTGCCAGCTGGACGCGGTGGCCTCGAGTGCGATGCTGGCAGACATCGGGACCAAGTACTGCACGAGGGATGTCCAAGAATCTCTCATTTCCCAGATCATCAACTTCAAATGAGCGGAACAGCAGCTGGCGACCAAGAACGGACCAACCGAACACGGTTTTCGGGGGCCCGCGAGGTGTGGCCCACCTTGAAGCAGCCAATCAGGTTTTCACCGCATTTTTTTTTTTTTTTTTTGCAAATTCTGGAAGCTTTTAGCAGCAGCGCATCGACCTTTCAAGATCTCGCGCTACCGGGGGAGACAACATCTTCCAGAAGACGCTTCATCCCGCGACTTTTCCTCCGACAGGATGTTGGGAAAGCGTGATGTGCAACCCGCGCACACTCCCACACAACATACATCAACCAACCTTCAGCAGCGGACCTTCAGCGGATCTCAGCCTTCTTCACCTTCTACTTCATGACCATCATGGACTCATACTGCACAAGCCAGCGGCACCACCGCAGCAGACCATCAGCAGTCACCAGCAGCCCTGCGCAAACGACCTCATGTTCGTCCTGGACTCCAAGGTCTTCAACTTTCCTTTAAGAGGATGGGCTCGCGACGTAGATTCAGAGTTTGATTTCGGACTGTCAAGCAGAGTATACGATGTGGTATCATAGCTAAACTAGGCTTTCAACGAACGTTCCAAACAGGCAGACCTACGGGCGAGACCTTATAGGCACTATAGCTGATTGGTGATTTTTCCTTGTTTTGCATTCTAAGCACTATGTTCTAAACACTGCTTCACAGTAGTAGTAGTTTTATCTCTGGTAATTGAGTTTGCTTGCAAGTAATACAAACACGGCCTCTGCAGCAGTTTAGCCAAACCAAGCACTGCTTCTACGGCAGTAGACTATAGCCAACGTAAACATGCACCAAGCTGCATTAATTATTAAGTATTGGTATGAACATGTATTGTTCTTCTCTTCGTATCTCCTCTGAGTGTTTATTGCTTGGTAAATACGTACAGCAGAATCTCTCGCTGTTTCAGAATTGATTAGCCTACACAGCAGTATAGCTGCATCATTCTTGAATTGAATTTAGTGCTGATCATTTCTTTGATTATCTTTCCTAAATTCGTACATGTAAGCGTACATATGTTCTTTGAATGGACTTTCCATTGCGGGGGAGTGTTGGTATATTCAATGTCAGTCATTGATTTTTGTACTGCTGTAAGCACAGCACGTAGGTAATAACCGTAAGAGAATTCGGTAGATTATACACAGCTATGGAGAATTCTGTAGATTATGCACTTACGCATATCATTTCTAGATCCGTTCTAGAGGTCGGACTAGCCGCCTATTTCTAGAAAGCGGGATGTTGAAATGACCCGTGTGTGTGCATCTTTCTGTGATAACTTGGAGGCTCGCCCCCTGTGGTGCTCGCCCCCTCTCGATCACTCTTCTTCTTTTCCTTACCTTTCGGCCAACTAAGAGCCACTTCAAATCATCAATCTGGTCTTTACACAAGTGTACTTAACAGTCACACGTGAGCCTCTGCACACTGTTTCTACACAGTGCTTGCCACATCCAGGGATACACCCATCACGAGGTTACATCCCAACATGGTTTTCGTGTACTTATACCAGTGAAGCACGGCCATCTGCTGTTGGAGCACGACCTAACCGGTGTGATGAAGATTGGTCTACTTCCTTGCTCCTTACAAGCCAGCAGATCGTCAATCGGTGATCTAAGACCTCGTGCTGGTCGACGAAGATGGAAAATTCGGGAGGTTGCACCTTGAAACTTGAGCCCCTGGTAGATAGGGCCTATTTCTTCCCTCCTCGAATTCGGCGAGCCCCTTAGACGTTGAGCCCTTGAGATGATAAGCCCTTAAGGTGGCGAGCCCCTAATCCCAAACAAACAAGTCTGGAGCAAGACCGCCGGAACATCCAACATGACGATGAGGGAGGTATTACGCCTAGAATGAACTCCTTCGGGTTCCGAAAATTACTCGAACTCAATATACCGTCATGTATGAGGACGGTTCACAAAAACACCAAACCCATGGATAGATGTGTTGACAAAGAACAATATCACTACACCATCCCTGGGTGCACATCAACCTCTTCGCTGGGCAATGACGGTGAACTACCAATTCTTAGCGTTCTCGTGCAGTCGTGCGGCTCTCGATATGCGCAACTGACGGCAACATCCGCCCGAAAAGATATTTCTGCCTTGCAGTCGTCGGGAATACGCGCTATCATAACATGTAGTCCCCGTACACTCACGAACGTACGTCTTCTACTTGCCCCTCACCATACATGTGTGACTGTTGGACTTGTGTCTTGTCCTTATCTCGCTCCTAGCTATTTCGTGCACCGTCTCTCCCTATTCTCCTCAAAGAGTAGTGCAAGCAAACTGCCCTACCCAACGACTTTACCTACTGCTTCAGCAGACTCCTACACACAGAACACATTGGAGACACTCAACCACACGTGAGCGTACATTAGGGTTCAATATACTCAATGCGTAGGTGCTGCAGTGGTACAATTGGCAAGAGGAAGCCATGCCGGCATTTTGTCGGGGACCTGACGCTTCAACTGACCATGAACGCAACAAAAACATGTTTCTGCGATAGTACGACAGATTCGTTCAGCGCGCGGCGACAATGAATCTTGTACCTGCGCTGGAGGTTGCGGTTTCGGTCAAGATCACCCCGAACAAGTTGGAAATGTCATTGACACATATCCCCGCTCTCGTCGACCACCTCCCCGCCACGTTAATGACCCAAACAATCATTTAATTTTCCCTTCCACACGTCGAGCCGGTACCAGCGGTAATGAGTATAGTCCATTTCGTATACCACGCCAACTGCGTCGAGGATTTCCAGATCGGAATAGTACTCCGTCCACGCGCACGGGTTCTCCCCCTCGAAAAGGTCGCGCGCGTGTCGCGGGAAGGGGTCGCCCATGTCGTTCCCTGGGCGACAACAGGAACCGAAGAAGGTGAGTGACAACGAGAAGAGTAAAATGGAGAAGGAAGCTACAAGTTGTTTAGCGCCACCTTGGCCTTCAATTTTCGCCGTCGGTGTATGCCGGTCGGGCTAGGGCTTGGTTCTCTCCGTGGGATAATCAACAGAATCGGTACAGAGTATTAGAATGAGATCCATTCGGGTTCCTTTGTTTCGACAAATCCAAAATACTTACCACTATAGCCTACCGTAGGGGTGGCGAATCCTGCGTGTGTCCCTACTGGCTTCTTTCTCTTTCGTGCTAAAAGTATCACATGCAGCAGTCATCGGAAGCGCACACAGTAAAAGCATCCTCGCTAGTGACTCCATCACATCATGGCGCGAACCGCGCCATCCATAGCAATCACGTCGCAGTCGAGCGGAGCGATCAACGCATATGCCTACCCCCGGTGCCCCCCGCCCAACGCCGATGCCCCTTCGTAGATGCACCTTCCGCTGTTTGTGTTCCACCACCGACTGCTTCGCCTCCTCTTCCGCTGGTTGCCTCTCCCCTCCATGCGCCCCGACCATAGTCGAAGTCCATAAAGGCATGTTTCCCGTCGGGTCCCCACCCCGACTTCCCGAACGCCTCCCAGATGTCTCCTGGGAGAGACTTGACGACCTCAGTTGAGGTTTTCTGCGCCAGTATCACGGCATGGCCAATGAAGGGTTCGCGTATGAAGTTGACTAGAAGGGGGACAACAATCATATTTTGGTTTTGGAGTAGCGCTAGATGTGCGTGTCCTGATGTTACCCACGCGCCGTGGTAATGTGTTGGGGAAACAGCACCCGAAGCATTGGAAGAGATAAAATACACCAACCTCCAAGGCAGCCTGTTGCACGAAAGGGATGGGGCGCTCGGTACGACGGCAGCAACCGAGAAACCGTCCGCTCAATACTGGCGTACCTTGTTCCAGCCAGTCAATCGATTAGGTTAGGGTTAGCTAGACGGTGGACGGCTGCGGCACGCCATGGCCAAGAACGGTTGCTCCTGAGGCACGTCATCGCCTGACGTTCATTTTACTAACCCTCACCCCACCATTGGCTCGGTCGGAGACGGACCAGGCGACGGGTTCCCGTTGGAGGTTGAAGAAATACAATGTTGTGGTCGCTCCGTACTTCCTTCACGACAAAAATCTCGGGCAAAAAGTATATTTGAAACGAGCTCGGTTCATGAAAACGAAGCTCCAGCGTGTAGGTTTAGTGGACGGACTCGAGGATGTCTGTGGGATGACGTTGATCTCCATGGCGGCGGCCCTCGTTTCGTTTAGACATGCTGACATCGGGTTCCTGGGTTGCTGGCAAGCCGTGGGGGCTTACGCATCTCATTATTGATGTAGAGACAGAAAGAAAGACTGTCATGGGCATAAACACACCTGCAGCCTCTCGAAGGGAATGACGCTGTCGAAGGGAGAGCTGCGTTGGCCACACAGGCTAGACACCGGTCGGAACGCCACGGGGGCGCTCCAAACGTCGGTCTTGAGGGCTTCCAGCACCTCCACCAAAGTCGGAATTCGAACCGCATCGCTGCCATCACGCACGGCGTAGGTCCCCGCGGTGGAGTGTTCTCGGTGGTGGTCGTCGCCGTCTTCCTTAATCCCCCCGCCTCGCCCGCGTTGGAGGACTTCATCCGTAGGCTCTGTCTCGGGCCACCACTGCCACAACCATCGTCGGTTGTGATCGGAACTCTGCTTGGCCAAAAACGGTGGCAATTGGTCAGAATCAGTCGCATCTTGGCTTGTCCATACACTGGTGAACCCTACTGCAGCCAGAATCAGCAACGACGAACCCAACTCATTGAACCGATGCAAAATATGGAGCATACTCCATTTTCCTTGGAAGGAGTGTATGAGAGAGGGGCGGGGAGCGAGAGGGAGAGAATGAGAGAGAGAGAGAGACGGGGGGGGGGGGG